AAATATTGCTTTTCAACCCATTATTTCTATGAGTAATAATTATTTTCTCTTTCTCTCTCCCAACTCTATCTTCTTCCTTCAATAGGAGTGCGGCACGAGCCCCCTAGAAACTGGTGGTTTCTCCCAATGACGATTTCATGGTTTCTTGGTGCATTGGGTCAAGAGAAGACCTGATTTCTTCATGAGAAAATCATTTCTAGGATTTTTGCTCTCTTTCTTCATTAATTACGTTGCCATGTCAGGGTAGTCCCAATGGTGTATTGATGATGGTTTCTATCCTCATTAAATGACTTGCCACGTAGGCAAAACGCTGACATGGCAACGTAATTAATGAAAAAAGAGAGAAAAATCCTAGAAATTGTTTCCTCATGAAGAAATCTGGTCTTCTCTTGACCCAATGCACCAAGAAACCATGAAATCGCCATTGGGGAGAAACCACCAATTTTCCAGGGGGCTCGTGCCGCACTCCCATTGGAGGAAGAAGATAGAGTTGGGAGAGAGAAAGAGAAAATAATTATTACTCATAGAAACCATGTGTTGGAAAGCAGTACTTTTTGGTGCGGTATCCTATGTTATAGAAACTACTAGTTTTTTTTATTGGGACTGCCCTCAACGTTTTACCTATGTGGCAAGTCATTTAATGAGGATATAAAATATCATCAATACACCATTGTGGACGCCCTAAAGAACCACTACGATTTGGGTTGAAACAGAACAACAACAAAAAGGAGCCTTGACTTGCGGTACTGATCCCGATACTAGGGCATGAATCCAAACATCAACTCTTTAACAGGGAAATATTCAATGCAAATCTCTTCTTGGTGGATCGTGAAAATCCTTTAAAAAACATACTTAGAAGTTTAAAAAGGTATGGACACTCATAACGCACATATAGATGTATATTGTCACAAATTTTAAGATTTAAAGTCGTCTTTTTAAAAAATCATATGTAAACAACAAATTTCAGGTGCGTATTTTGTTATGTAGTGCATTCGCACATAAAATTTGTTATTTACATATGACTTTTTCTGAATTGAGTTTGAATATCAAATTTTGCTACAATGTGTATATCTATATGTACACTCCATGGGCGTGCGCGTGCCAACTGCCCAAAGAGAGTTTTACCTGTATAATATTAAAAAAAGATGGTCCTTACCTACAGGCCACGGGATGCCATGCATGTAAGCTTTTTTTTCCTCCTAAGCCATTCCATCCACCTTCAATCTAGTTTTCACCGTTTAGCTGCCCTAACATGCGGGCTCGGCCAGTGAAGATGTCCAAAATACCCCCCTCCCTCTCTCTCCCAATACCTCTGCACGTCCGCCTGCCCCTCTCGGTGCTCGCCGTGCGCTCGCCCGAGTGGCGGTGGCTGGGGCGTGCGTCGGGCGGTGGTTGGGCTCGCGCTCGCCCAAGGAGCGCCGCGAGCAAATCCAGCGGAGGGGATGAGCGGGGTCGATGGCGGAGGGGATGAGATGACCGACGACTTGCTATTTGTGCTAGAGAGGGGCGAGGCGGCAGCCGCAGGATGGAGCAGGTGATGAGCGAGGCGAGGCGATGGCGATGGCGTCGCGTGGATGAGTGATGGTGTGAGGTGAGGCTGCGCCTGTCGCGAAGGGAGCTAGCTCGAGGGGTGGTGTTGCGAGGCCATGCGGCGTGGTTGTCGTAGTGGCGGCCATCGTGCCGTCTGCTCGCGGGCGCGGGCCTCGTCTTTGGTGTTGAGCTTGCCGTCCGTGGCGGCTCCTAGCCCAAGGCCGCCTTCCTCCCGCTTCTGCGTGTTCCTCGGCGTCGCGCTCTCGGTGAAGCGCGCCCATGCTTTCCTTTGCATCTAGCTCGGACTCGTCGTCGGCATGCCGTTCGGGCGCGCGGGCGAAGGGCACCCCGCCGCTTTGGTCTACATCTCGCGTCGGGGCCGCCGCCGTTGTTGTCGTGGTCTGCGCACCTTTCGCGGTAGCGCGGTATAGGTGGGCGCTTAGCTGCGCAGTGCCATACTCGCAACAAAGAGCTCCTCATTCCCGCCCGGGATTCGCGGCCAGCGAAGACCATGGTCGGGTCATCGACACTGCGCGCGCGTGCACATACACCTCGACGAATGACGATCGGATGGTCTCCCTTGAGAAGGCGAACACTGTTCCTAGTTGTGCGAAGGACGGCCAGAAGCATCACGCCGCGTGTAGTTTCTTGAGCTTGACCTCCCACTCGATGTCGCCCGAGGGGTGGACGCCGTCGTAGGAGCTGCCGAGGCCACCGTCTCCAATGCGGCGGACGCCGCGTGGGCCCTCGACAAGTCGCTTGGCGCCGAGGCGCCCGAGCGCCGCTCGTGGTGGCCGTGACTGGGCCACCGCCGAACGTCGCCTCGTCGATGCCCATTGCCCGCTCCATATCATGGGCCGTGGCGGCGCGGTGGACACAGCATGGACGCGGGGGTGCGTAAGTAGATGGCGAAAGCACGACGGTGGTGATCACGAGGAGGATCGCTGGACACGACGACGCCGTAGCCGAACTCGCTGATGTCATTTGGACACGAATATGCCGTGTCTGTCGCGCATTGCCGCCGAGAGGCGAGCTCGTTGCTGTTTTTTTTCAGATTTTTTATTTGTCACCAGAAATGTTATTGTCATGTTTTTTTTCAGTTTTTTTAAGATTTTGTTAAATTATGTGAGATGGATTGTAAATTTGTGCAAGTTTGAGATGCAAGTTAACGTGAGTGAGTGAATCTGCTAGCTATCTTAGGGCGTGTTTGGCATGGCTCCAACTCTAGGTGGAGCTGCTCCACTCCAGAACTCTAGGTGGAGCCAGCTCTGGGTGAAGTTGGAACTGTCTGATGGAGGTGTTTGGCTAGGAGGGTACCTTCAGCTCCAAAAAGATAACTTTTAGGATGAATTGCCATTGTTACCCCCAACTCACGTCCCCACATGTCAGCCTCTCCACCCTATCTTCTTCTTCATCAGAATGTCGGTTGCGCTTGAACCCGGTGGAGCTTCGCAGACGAGACGGTGGTGGTCTTGGCGTTGTTGAGAGCAGGGGACGGGCTGTGGTGGTGGTCGTGGTCGACGGCCAAGCACGACGGCCGCACCTCGCTCCCAGTGGCTATAGGCGACTAAGCGGCAGCGCACGACTGGGTCTCGAGGCCAGTGCTTGGTCGTCGCAGCGCGAGGCGTTAGGCCAAGCCCTCTCGGCCGGCCCGCACGCCCTTTGCCGACCTTTTTCGTCGGCCGCATCGCTGCTAAAGCGCTAAGCCGCTCCGCCCGGCCGCGTCTTGCCCCTTCGCCGGCCGCACCGCACACTCGCGAAAGGATAGAAGCAACCTACGCGGGGGCGGGGCAGGTGGCCTATTGGAGGCTGCACGACGGGCTCCGCGATGGTCGGGCTGGCGGCGCTGCCCTACTGTGGAATGGAGCCCTAGGGTGGGGGATGACGGGGAGGTGGGAGCAGTGGCGGATGGTGGAGTGAGAATAGGCCGGCCGGCATGCACGACGGCGGCATTGCATGGGATGGCACATGCTGCAACATGGACGGGGAAGGTGGGGTTGGCGGCGGGGATGCCCTCCGGCCGTCGGGGAGTGTGAATGGCGGCAGGTCGGCAGTGGCGGGATGAGTAAAGATGGCAACGGGGCCCCGATACACGATACCCGATGGGTATTTGATCCAATAGGGGACGGGGATGTGATGATATCTTTACCCGTGAGCATCTAAATGGGCAAGAATCCATCCCCGATGGGTATAGCGGGTATGGGAATGTTTCTGTTTACCCATCCTCGTTATCCGTTGGGGAACCCGACTATTTGAGCTGTCATGAGAGTGTTAGACCCAATGAAGCTCAACATTGGTATTTTGGCCCAAATGTGAATAATTATATATATAGTTTGTGTGTTGTAGGAACCCTAGTTCAATTTTTCCTCGCCATCTCCACTAGCAGCACAAGCACGCCTGCCTCACGAGCGCTCGTGCCCCTCGCTTCCTCAGTTCGGTCTCTCTGCCACCTTTGCTCGTCCTCCTCGCAACCTCGCTCCTTCTCCTCAGCATCTCCGAGACTCCGACACTTATACCCGGGTGAAGAAGAAACGTCTCCGATTACAAAGCTGCGACCCCAAGTGTTCTTGTTTATCGGGTATGCAGTACCCTTGGGTATCTGTTACCCGACCGATGCCCGACGGGTACGGGGATGGGCAAGAATCTATACCTGAGACAGTTAACGGGGACGGGGCGGGATGAATTCTCCATAGCGGGGAAGAGAACGTTCCGACGATACCCGACGGGTACATCCCCGCTGCCATCCTTAGGGATGAGGTAGGGGTTGCGTCGGGAAGGGGACGGAGAATAGAAAGAAAGAACCGTTTTCTGCGTAACCAGTGGCATTGGTGGGTAATTACCCACCAATACCACGAGGAGGTTCATATTGGGTGGTTTTGGAGCTGCAAAAGAGGTGCTCCAAAACTCCACCCCCATTTGCACTACAGCTCCATAGAGTTGGCAGCTCCATGGAGTTTTAGAGCTGTGGTGTTTGGCTGAAAAATTAGCTGGAGTTGCTGGAGTTCAGCTCCAGAGCCATGCCAAGTCTTCTACTCTTCTGGCTGGCGGACTGCGTGGAGGGCTCACAGGTCAGTGGCCTAAGGCATGGAGGGCTCACATGTCAGTGGCATGCGCATCAGGAGCCAGAGTCCACGTTCAGGTCCTGCAGAAGTTGGCACAAGAGAACGACAAACTTTTGGACGGTGCTTAGACCTCAGTTTAGTTTGGACTTTTTATGCAGCACTTTTGATACTGTTAGAGATAAAAGTGGGTGGAATGGTTTACGAGAAAAAAAAGTTTACGTGCATAACACCTGTGCACCAGAACTTTCCAGTGATACGTACTTATCTTTTTTTTAATGGTACACGGCTAAAACTCTCCTGCCCAAACGGCCAAACCCCACCCCAAGAGCCTCCCCGTCTCCAGGGGCGTTCGCAGGCCAGGTTTATTCGCAGGTCCGCCCGCCTAGACCGAGAGCCGGCGAGGGCGAGATGGCCGGCCGCTTCGTTTTCCAGGAACTCGCCTCCGGGGTGTCGAGATCGACAAGCCGCCTCAGCGCCAAGGATCTTCTTCGTCTAAGGCCACCGCTCCGGTCATCACCGCTTCGGTACGTACGAAATGCTTAGAATTTGGGTCGTCCAGCGCGCTTCCCCACAGCCACAGGCTCTTGCAAGCGGGCGGTGAGCGGTGCCGACGTGGCAAGTTTTTCTCCTCTGATTGGGTTTAGGGGTGGGCAGGGTGGAACGGCGGGGGTGTGGGCGGCCGGTGGCGGGTGAGCCGCTGGTCGGGGCGGCGGTAGAGGCCAGAGTTGGGGTGGCGTGGTTCATCGATGAAGAAGAGCAGTTGAAGAAGATGAACAGTTGTAGAAGATGAAATCGCGCGCTGGTTACAGTAGCGACATGCACGCGTCAGGGATACCTTGTTATTTTTCTGCAAGCTAGGATTCCTTGCCGAGATTCGTCCTGCCCGCTCTAAATTTGCTGAAATTTCTGATTTTTCCCTCTCTTATGACGGGAACAACCCAAGTTCTCATCTTTTATCCTGTCCTTGCCAGGAAGATGGCACCAGAACCCTCACCAATGTCTTCGCTGCAATCCATCCTGGCACGGCGCTTCCCAGCAGTAGCCGTGGGCTTCATGGCCGTGTAAGCATCTGCCTTTTCTTATCCTGTCAATCAATTCTTCATTACTGAAGCCTCTTTTGACACGTATAAGCTGATGAAGTTTGTGATGAGGAAAAAAAGGGCACCACTGAAAGTTCTTGTTATTGCCCTCTCAGGCAGGTGGTGGTATTGGAACCCTCAGCAATCTTTTCCATGGTGCTGCTGTTCGTCCAGGCATGGTGGTTCCCAGCAACCGTGAGATCCTCAGTGGCTCTGTAAGTTACTGCTCAAATTTCTGTGAACTTATGTCTGCTTTAGTATGATAGTGTTGACAGTACATGCAAGGGTTGTGACCATAGAGGGGTGGGTAAATTGCTGTCAGAAAGGCAAGCTTCAACCTGTTTTTAACTCTCGGTTTGAGCTTGCCCCGTTCGCTGGTCTGAAACTTGGCTGAAACTGGCTGAAAAACACTGTTTTGGCTGAATTGTTGTGAGAGAAAAACACTGTTACGGCTGAAAAAAGAAGCCGAACAAGCCGAATATGGGGTAAGCCGAACGGATACTTGACTATTATCTTTGCAATTTGTATGAAGAATTGCATTCTTGTTGCTTCGCTTCAATTTTTAATCTCATTTTTGCACGATTCGGTTGTTAGTGTGACAAGATTACATCAGTGCTGTTCACTCCATATATTATTGGGAATGAACATCTGTTGCAAGTGCACATTCTCTGACTACTGAATCCTTATCTGTCCCAACTGCCCAATATAGGGTGCAAGTGTTCACTATATATAATATATTGTTAGCTATGATTTCTTTCTTAGATTCGTCATGTCCACCCAAAAATTTGCTGAAATTTCTGCTTTTTTGTTCCTTAACGAGAACAACCCATGTTTTTGTTCTTTTATTATGAAGGAGAGATTCCCTGTGCTTTTAAGAAAGCAATAGAGTTGGTACAGGCACTGGAATCGGACAACTCAAGTTCTCATCATTTGTTTTGCCCTTGCCAGGAAGATGGCATCAGAACCCTCATCAATGTCTTCCATGGAGCTGCAATCCATCCTGGCACGGCGTTTCCCAGCAGTAGCCGTGGGCTTCATGGCCCTGTAAGCAGCTACTTAAGCTTGTTCGCTTGCTCGTAAACGATCGTAAATTTCCAGCCAGGAACAGTGTTTTTTTCTCACACCAAACCAGCCAGCAGTAAATAATCCACGATACGATACGGCCTCCCGAACAGGCTGCTTGTCTTCTCTCAATCAATTCTTCATTACTGAATATAGAGATCACTTGTCTTCCCTGAATAATGAAGGCTGCAAGGTTCACTGCCCGGTCAACAAATGGGATGCCATCAAGTATCACCAATCACAAGGATCTTTTGCATGAGGTATGAGTATGAAACACACTTCCTATGTGTTATTTATTACATATTTCACTCATTCTTTTGTTGGTTGTGTAGCAAAATATGAAGATAATCAAACTGCAGAATGAATTTGAGATCACTAAAGCAGAAATGGAAGTGCTGAGAGCTAATATAAAGTAAGAAAGTGTGACTGAGTTGTAAATTTTTAGAAGTTGCTATTTGTCTAATTATTGCGATTTTTGTCAGGACTGAGGTTATCAAGGGTCAGACAACAGTGCTTAAATATTGCATCATCATTCTTGGAGCTGGAGTAGTTGGACGATTGTTGTGGCTGAGTGGGTTGCTTCTTAACTGGTACGTTGTTCAAAGTCTTCTAGTTATATGATTGGGAGGATAAGATTGAGTGTTGAATCAATTTGCAGTGAAAAGCTCATGATCTTTAAAGGACCACAGACCTGGCCAACTTGCCAAACCTGCAATTTTAATGTTTAATTTAGAAAAAGGATCTACCAACTGGTTCCAGATACCTGTGACAATCATTCCTTGGACATGAGTTAATTTTTATAGGTTTATTGAGATGTTTAACCTCAAGGCCTCTCTGACTCTTTAGTAAACATATAATCGTTCCTCTCAATAGGTGATAATTTTCTCCTTTCTGAAACAGAATCCTAGACCTTGCATATCTATTTATTTAGTCTAAACATTGGCATTGTGGATGTTAGAAATAGAATAGAGACTAGAATGAACTAAGATAACTTTAGGTGGTGGCATGGTCTTATCTATCCATTCATCTAATCAGTTTGCAATTTAGTTTTACAGTCAAACATTGATAATATTGCTCCTGATTTTACTTTCTGCAGTGATGAGGAATCAGAAAGAGAGCTCGGATGGCTGGTGGAAAGCTACCTATTGCAATAGTTGTAGGCAATTAGAGTTGTATGTTGGAACTTGATGTGGACAGAGCTCGGATGGATTCTGGTGGTAGGCTACCTACCTATCACAGTAGTTGTAGGCAATTAGACTTGTCGAGTCCTGTTGGAACTTGATGTGGAGGTTATGGTTCTGCTTGCCTTGTTTGGTGTTTCCATGTTTAGGATCTGAATGTTTAGAATGTGGTATTTGAATTCAAGTATCAAGTGAATTAAATGATAAAGGAACGTGTTGAATCATATTCCTTGCTCTAATATTTGTTTGACAAATTGAACAAAGTACAGCACGATCATCATTCGATTGTGGGGCTCCTTCTTGGGCCTGGACTGCATGCATGCCTTGGTCGTTAGTTATGTTAGGCCCAGCCCAAAGAGTTTAACGCTTCCAGCCCAAGCGGTTCATCGATCGTCGCAGTGGGCCGATCCAGCTAGGCAGCCAGCCCGGCGTTGTTCAACTGCAGCTCCTCTATTTATAGGGACCGGCGCACCGCAGCTCCTAAACCCTAATCTAAACCACCATTTCATTCCTCTCAGCCGCCGCCGACGTCAGCGCAGCTGACGGTAGATAGCTTTTGTCTCGTGGACATGTCCCGCCGATCCAGATCCAGATCCAGATTCCGCAGACGGCCCGTGACATGTCCCGCTCCCCTCCCGCCGCCCGCGACCGATGATGCTCCCGGAGGTTGGCCTGCCGTGGGGAAGCAATTCGTCGAACAGCAGCAGCGCGAGAGGTTGGTAGGCGTAAGCCTGAGCCTCGACCACGCGCACTCTAGCTGTTTGGCGAATTGCTCCACCCATGCCAGGCCCTGCCTCGGTTATACTATAGATCGCCTTCAACCAGCTCGCTAGCTGTGTTCACAAACTAATTCACTGACTATCTTCTTGTGACGTTTTTTTTGTTTGAGTGATTGTATCCGTCTCCTGCTCTGTCTGATTTACTGGCCATGATTCGGTACGGTCTCGTTTGTTTGAAGAAGCTCTCAGACAATTGTTGTCCTGTTAGTGTGCCCTTGAGCGTCAAGTTCATTGTTACCAGGTAAAATTATCTGTGTTCAGTGTCCGGGTTCACTGGTTTTAGTCATTTAGTGCATATGTGATATGTATGCGGCATGTACTGGTCGGATTTGATTACTTGTAAAACACATGAACTTAACTTCTATTATCTGCACTAGCACATGCCTGTTGCTTTCTTCTAGTAGTGTTTTTTTTCCAATTCATTTTGGTAATAAGATGCCACCATGAAAGTTGCACATGCCTGATGCTTTCTTCTAGTAGTGTTTTTTTTTTCAATTAATTTTGGTAATAAGATGTGACCATGGAAGTTTCATCCTTTTAGGAAAGTAGTGTTATTGTGGGGCTGTTAGGGTTCTACAGATATCTGTGTTTAATAAAATAACAATGTCATCATGTTCCGGTGTTCTTGCTTCCAACAGGATGAATGTGTGTAGAGATTATGAAGGCGGGAGGCAACTCAATTGGTGCTGCAGCTTCTATATATGAGGAGTGTTCTATTTTATGTCGTGGATTCTCTAATGTCAAGTTCGATCATTGTCCGAGGGAGGCCAATAAGGTGGCGCATATTTTAGCTTGTAACTTTGAAGGATCCCTGCACTTTCTTTGGGAACAGGATCATCCAGATTTTATTTTGGCGCAATTAGCGGATGATGTAACTATTATTTGAAATTGATAAAGTTGCCATGATGGCTTTCCCTAAAAAAAAAAAGGATGCAGTTATGGTTAATCAAAACATATTTCCAGTGCGAAAATTTGTCTGCTGGTTTATTGAATCTATATGGACTACTCCCTCTGTTTTTGGTTTTTAATGTATGAGTGAAAATTTCTCAGCTGGTTTATTGAAAATTTCAAGACAAAATGTTTTCACAATCATACATATGAACAACTCCCACTGTTGAACTACGCCGAAGGTGTTGGGAGTTCAACCCCTCTGCTCACCAGGAACTCCTCTTCTATCGCTGCCCCTGCCTAATGGACGCCGCCAGTAGCAGCATCATGGAAGCCTCTGCCTGGTGATGGCCTCTGGTTCATCCGTAAAGCAGTGGCGGATGCAGAAAAATATATTTAGGGGCTTAAAAAGAGCGCAAGATGCCTAGAAAGTCCGTTTTGTACATAGAAGACCAATAGTTTGAAGGGGTTTTATATGAAAACATACAACGATTTGGACTGGACAATGTTATTTTATTTTTAGTTTCTGATGTTTTGAGTTCATCAGAAATGACAATCGTAATTGAAAATTTGTGTCACTCTAGCATGGACTAAATTTCGCACAAAAAAGTTACATAGAAACACTATGACATTGTAACAATGTTCAAACCTTAATTGATAACTGTATGGTATGCCACAGCCTCAGTGCGTAAGTAGCCAAGCCTGCTGGCGGTTTTAGCCCAAAGCCAACCCCGTTTAGCTAGCCCAACAGACGTCCGGTCCAGCTGAGCTTTCGGCCCATGTAGATCCCAGCCGAACTTTTCCTTTCTCTTTTTCAGGCTGATCAAACCTTGACAGCCACGTCAGCCTATGGACACTGTTTTCCTACGTGCTAAATTCAAGACGGTCAGTCACCTTCATATACGGTTTAGTTGGTATTGATGATAAATTAGATGGTTTATTGAACAGTTTGCACTATAATAGTAAATACACATACAAATGCTAGAATTTCGTAGTAAAATTTTTAAATTAAATATGATTGAGACATGCACATAGTTCCACATTATGACATAGACAATTATATAGACATAGTGATATAGATATTAGACATGTAGTTTCCACATTGTTAAATGATTAGCTATCACTACACAATAATATTATATTAGGCATTAAGTTCTAACAACAACACAAATAACAACCCTTTTTTTTACCAAATTGGTTCTCTATATCGCCGAGGCTACCATTTAGACGCCTCAATCAACTAGTATTAAACTATTTTCTAATTGCTTTGACCATTTGATTTTAATTTAATTCACCATCTAGAGCATAAACTACATATATATACCCATAGTTTAGGGTTTACATGCTTGTACACAATGGCTTAAACAAGTTTAGATGGACACTTGCTATGCAGGACCCACCAACACGTCCAATCGACCAGCCCAAGGCCCAGTTGACAAAGTCAACGGTCAATGTTGGTTGTTGACCATGGGACCTACGGCCAGCATCACCTGAGACCTGACAGTCCCATTTCTGGTTTAGTAAAAAGGTTTTTAATATGTTTTAATCTTTGAAGATTTTTTTACTAAACAATTTTGTGGAAATGTCAACTAACTTTTGGTTTTCACCGGTCGCTGATTTTCTTCCAGATCTTCCTGGAGAGAGGTTTCTCATGCAAAGTGGGCAGAATAACTGTTTGGCCATTCTTTGAGAAGGAGACGGTCAGCAATCGACAGTCTATTTTGAAGTAGTAGCAGCCAAAGAAATAACTTGCATCGTGCCGGCGCCCAAATGTTCCATATGCGATCAGGCAACAGGGATCAGAATTGCCCTTCAAAAATGGATATTGTAGGCTGATCTCACTGAATATTCTCCAGATGGTTCAAGCGTCCATGTGATGCATGCAGTCGTTTTTCCTCGTCATTTAAGTTTAAGTGGCTTGCTTCGATCATGGTCCATAGTCCAAAAAATTCTTGTAGAAGTTCGTCGGATAGGTTGTAAGCTATCAGCATGTTTGGGTTTATACGATCGTATAAGATCGTAGATTATAAGCTGGAACAATATTTTTCTTTCACACCAAACCAGCCAAGCCAGCTAATAGTAAATAATCCACGATCATTTACGACGAAACGAACAGGCTGTATATCTCTAATCCAAGCTCCATTCCTGCAACAGTACGCTTCCCCCCTCTTGCTGTGACCAAACAGGTGAAAATTTTGTATTTTAGCCCTTTCTAAAAACTATTTCTACAAATAGATCCTTCGTGAAACTTTTTCTTGAAATAGACCAAAAGCTCAGTGTTAAACAATAAAACGCCAAGGTATTCATGTAGGCGTTATGGACTACGCCAAAAACCTGCCACGTCAGTGCTAACGTGGCGTTTCCACGCCAGACCTCGGCGTGAGGTCATTCAACGCCAACTTTCATACATTGGCGTTGGCGTTAGGTTGTTTCACGCCGAGTTCTGGGGACTTTGAAACGTGACACCGGCGACTTGCTGGCATCGGTCTGGCGACTTTCTACTTTGCGCAGGCGGAGACTTCGGCTATCTGCGCCGTTTATATCCCTTAGTCTGGTAAAACAGGTCACGTATTATTCAAATATTACTTAACCGGCCAGGTGACATAATCTCTTGATTTCTCATTAGCTTCTCTCTAGACGCTTCCTTCCGGTAGATACCTAAATTTATTGAGTAGATACCTAAATTTATTGAGTACTAAGCATATTTTTTACCTACTACATATGCACGTGCGGTACGTGTCTATCAAATAAAAGATTCATTAATAATAGAAAAAATAACAATATAATTTGATAAGTCAGTACATGGAAATTTAGAATGTGCCTTGCCAAATTCAGTTATTGTGAAAATTTAGATATGCAACAAAATCAATTCGTACTCCCTCCTATAGTTTATTTGACTTTTTTTTACTCCAAGTTTGACCACTCGTCTTATTCAAAAATTTGTGCAAACATAGTCCAATTTAAATCATTCTTGAAGAACTTTTGTTAATAAAATAAGCCACAGCAAAATAAGTGATATTTTGCACAAATTTTTGAATAAGACGACTGGTCAAACTTGAGATAAAAAATTCAAACGAACTATAATTTGGAACGGATTTAGTAGCTCCTAAATAACCAGATCATCTCCAAGAGTTCCCAAAATTTAGTTTATAGAATCCTTGAGTTTTTCAATTGGCCAAAAAGTAATTAGGAGCAGCAAAGAAGGGTCTCTCCAACTGTTTCTAAAAAAGTAACTTCTAAAATATCAAAAAGTTGGATCCGTAGGAAACTTTCTTGGTGCCATGTGAGAAGATCACACAGCCGTCC